TTTATTGATCAATATTGGGAATATACTAAAATATATATAATAAGATTATCAATTTTATAATCAATATAACCTTATTCATCCAAAACGAAATTTGGGGTTTTATAGATTTAAATTTAATTATTTTTCACCTAATCAGGTCCAATAAACATATAAAGATTTTTTTTCTAAAGATTTGAATGGTTAATGAACTTAAAAAACTTCCGGAAGTCAAGATTTTCATAAAAAAAAGTTTTATCATTATTTTTCACGGTAAAATATTGATTGTTTTCTATTCTGAATTCATCAAAAAAGTATGGTTTGTGCTCATATAAAAAACTTAAGATTCGATCTAAAAAGTGATGAGCTTCCATCAAATTCGTAGATTTAATTGAGAATCTTCAGAATTTTTTAAGATTCTATCAAAGGAATTGAGTCTTTGGAACAAAATCAAATATTTAAACCTCAATATCTTTAGAACTCGATGTTTTAAACCTTTGATATTTCAAACTCAAATTACTTGATCTAACAGAATTCATGGTTTGAAATATCAAAGGTCTGCAACATTTGGTTAAAAACATATAGGGATTAGAAAATCAGATTTTGTGGCAAAGACTCAATTCCTTTGTTGAGAAATTATTAAAGTTTTAAGAGATTCCATTATAGTTTTCTTCAATCTATTTTTTTTAAATTCCATCAAAGTTTCATGAGATTCAACTATAATTTCATAAAAATCAATCAAAGTTTTATTCAATCAAAGTTTTTTGAGATTTCATCAAAGTTTTGTGAGATTCCATTAAAGTTTTCTTCAATCTATTTTTTTTAGATTCGATGAAAGGTAATAGTTTTATAAAATTCAATCAAAGTTTATAAAATTCAATCAAAGTTTATGAGATTCAATCAAAATTTATGAGATTCAGTCAAAGTTTTATAAAATTCAATGAAAGTTATAAAATTCAATCCAAGTTAAAGAGATTCAATCAAAGTTTATAAGATTTCATCAAAGTTTTCAGAGATTTAAACTAAGTTTATGAGATTCAATCAAATATTTGTTCAATCAAAATTTTTTGAGATTTCATCAAAGTTTTGTGAGATTCTGAAATGCTGAAGCTAAAATGCTGAGCTGAAAATATTTTATCGTGGATTTCAAGATCAATGCTTCATCAATTGGATCCGCAAGATTATTGCTTCCTGGATATATCAACCAGAAACTGCTTAATAAATCTTTTTACTCTCAAAACCCAAATCTGAACTGTTGAAAAAAGAGAGATTTTAAAAGTTTCCTGATTTCTGAATGGTTCAAAAAGTTTTAGCATAAAAATAAGCGCAAAAAAGACACAAAATTTGAAAATTCTGCTTTATTAAAAAAATTTAGTAAAATTTTTAAAAAAATAACCTGGATCGAGATTCCTTTTTTTCTATTGCGGATTCAAAATTAAATCAAAATTAAATGGATCCTAAGCGCTTGATCCAAATCTTTTATTTATCTCCAGATTAATTTAATCTTTATCCGATATCCGCATTGTAATTGTGCCATGAAGGAATTACTAAAATGAAGAAAATACAATCATTGATCCTGAAATAAAAAATGCCCACTGTGAGTATCGTTATCAAGGGATCGGAATTTTAAGTAACTAACTCACAAGTTCTTAATCTTAGCTCAAAGTCTAAAACTAAAGAATGCGCGAATTTTAAGTTCGAGGTTAAAAGTTCTGTAAAATAATGAATAGCTACTAAAATAATAAACTTTCTCAATTTTAAATTTGAATTTCCCGGGAAAAATCTGAACCAATCAGAGAAAAGGATTAAAAGAATTATTACGTAAGTAACGGTATTCGGTAATCAGCTGTTTTTTAAATTTTAAGTTATTTACGTGACGGAATAATAGAATAGAATGTGAATGTTCCAATAAATTATCATTTTTTCTTCTTCATATTCTTGTCTCTATGTACTAGTTCTAGGAGCCGGAGGCGAGAGTTTCGTTAAACGAAACTCAATAGATTTTCATGTTGTGGTCTATTTTTTGGGAAGATTTTAGTTCAAGAAATACAAGGAAATTAATTCTGTCTGAAATCAAATTATAGTTTTACTACTTCCATATTTAATTAAGAAAAAGAAAATCACGCAGGTTTCCGAAACTGGGTTTTATAACAATTCTCTATCTTAAGTTGTAGCCTGCAGGCCAGGAATTGCAGGCCTGGAATTACTCTGGATCACGGGGAGATATATATACAGAGATTATAATGTTGATTATTATCCATTATATAGCAGGATCTGATACAGTTTATTAAACACTGAATACACTGTATTTACATGTATGATGTAAACCGGTATACGTGGATTTACCGGTCTCTAGTATAATTATACCGTGCTTTAAAGTTTTATTCGTTTCCGTATCTTCTCCAACAAGATTAGGATATTCTATAACAGATAATTTATAAAATTACGTATAATACTATTATCTCGACACGACATATTATTAACTATTATGTTGGTTTCGCAGTGCTCTAAAGTTTTTAGAGATTTTCCCTTTATCGAGAATGTTCAAGCCTTCTTTGACTACATTTTGCCCCGAGCTTCAGCGAGAGAAAAACTTTCTGAAACGAGAAACAAAACTGACACGCCTGATTCACAACGGTACTCGATTAAGGAAGACATAATTTTGATAAACAAGCATCACTGATAAGCATTGTATTATGGCAAACTCTTGAATATTTGCAAAAATATCAGAAAGTTTGGATTGTGTTACTGATATCTCTCTATTGTAAAAACAGTTTGCACAACAAACTTTTGAGAGAGTAAAAACCTGAAGAAAACTCGGCCAACTTCAACGGGGGAAGCTTTGCCACATTTCTGTAACCATGCAGATTTTTTTTGTTATACTATAGTCAGGATTATTTGAAAACTTTAAGATTCAAGAATCTTTAGAGTAGGGTTTACAATTTAACTAATATTTTTATTCTTTTTAAATTTTTAATTTCTTCTTTAATTTTTTTAATATTTATTTTCATTTGAAAGAATTTTCAAAATAGAAAAACAGAAATAAAGTCCACGTGACTTGTTATTCGGGACTTGCAATCCGCAAACCCTTATAACTTTTTTTTTAAAAACTCCGTTTTAATAGAAATTTGTCCAAGTAAAATTATTTTGAAAAATCTGTACACCTCTTAAACCCATAAAAGAATAATACCAGCTTATCCTAAGTTAAGGCTCATGTTAATAGAAAAACTGTAAAAGTTTCTGAAAAGTATAAAATTGGATAATATATCTTTTAATAAAACAGGAAGTGTAGAAGGAAGCTCGGACAAAAATTCTAGGAATAAGGAAACAGAATTTCCTTAAAGTCAAAATATTTCCATAGGTTAATATCATCAATATTATGATAATAAGTTAATAACCCAGCTTATAGGTTAATATCATCAATATTATAATAATAAATTAATAACCCAGCAGGTCAATATTATTCAATATTATGATAATAACCAGCTAATTTTCTCATTTTCTGGGGTTTAAAGAGTCTATTATTCATCCTCATTTTTTTCATTGTAATAATGTTGATCAATTGAAACAAAATAATTTCAGACATCTGATGAATAATTAAAACACAGATTATTTTTTCACTTTTATCTATATATTTTATATATATATCTGTACTAGGCTTTCAGGACGCTTCTCGTCCATCTTTTATTTTAATTGTGAACAGTTTTTCTTTGAATACATTGTAAGCCAAAAACTAAAAAAAGTTCGCGGATTTCATGAAAAATTTTTGTGTCTTTGTAAAATGTTGAAAAATTTATTGAAAATCCAATTTGATGGAGGTAAATTTTTAAAAATTTGATCATTCATAAAACTTCCCTGGGGTCAAGTTGAGTCGTTTTGACGTTTATTGGACACAAACAAACAGACAAACAAAAGACAAGCAAAGTATATATAGAGAAATATATATATATTGACACCCTTCAAACAAATAATCTATATTTAAGTTTGGGAAGATTTTGAAAACACATTTTTAAAATTGAAAAAGATTTAGTCACTAGTTTTGGAGTTTGTATACAGCTGTACTGACACAAATTAGTCTTGATAGTCCTTAACATGGGCTATAAAAATTGGTTGATTTTTTTTGTAGGGCCTAACACCATGTTTATCGGAATTAACATCTGTTAAAGTCTATGGAAATCCAAAATGAAAACAGCGAAATCTGCAAAATTTTTGATTATTATTGCTAAATAAAAAATACTGAACATGAGATACAACAATTGTGTAGTGTAAACAGACCCTTTCATCTTAATAAGTCATTTAATACTTTACTAGTAAAACTATTTGCTTTCTAGTAACATCAAATACATTTCAGTATTGTTATAAGTCGTCTTCCTCATTCAACAATTTTCTTGTACTCCATGTATAAATTGTAACTTACTAAATTTTTATTCGCGAGAAAAGAATTATTTCAACTTGAATTGAATTTAAGGTTTGCAGGAAAACTTGTTTCAGCCAATGAGAATGTTAAAATACCGTTTAGAAGTAACTCAACTATTTCTCTCTCATTCATAAATTTTAGTCTTAAGATGGAAATTTATAAATAAACGAGTTTAGACTGAAAACTCAATTCAAGGACGCATGGTGGCTCTCTGGCCTATGATAGTCTTGATAGTCTTTATTTTCCTTGACTCTGTTTGTACATTTCATTTTGGATTACATACACAAATAGTATGCCGTGGGATGTCAAATAAGTATTTTCTTTTGATTTTGAGCTAAAATATTCTTTTTAGAATTTTTAAAAACTGTTAATGATTGATTTGTCAATTTATATATATTCCTTTTTATCACTTTTAAAATAAAAATATGAATTTGAGGTGTTGGTTAAGCAAATAATTTTACTTTTTTTAATCCCCAAAACATTGTCTGTCTAAAGTGTGTGTTTGTGTGGATAGCACAAATCAAACACTTTTATCTCATTAATGATTAATGGAACAAAACATCAATATGTCCAGAGAAGCACCACCACCTTTACCAATTATATTTACCTTCAGATGACGTTCATATGAACTGGTTTGCATTCCGCGTCCGGATATTCCGTTTCCGTTTCCTTCATTTACAGGAGATACATTACTAAACAACATTCCTTTCAAATATAGAATCCACTTATTTTCTGGATTTAATAAAAACTGGAAACGAGACTGAGATGCCCGATTCACAACAGTACTCACTTAAATATCCCGGAGTTTTTCTTATTTTTCTTCATAAAAATTGAGTATTTAAAATAGTTCGAGCTACTCATAAGTTGGAACTCTATTTTCGGCGAGAAAAAAGAGGGATTTCTATAAAGTTTAAAAATAGACAAATGTGTTAAGGGTATCGTGGTGAATCTGACATAGCACTTTAAATAATAGAGGATCTGGATTATTTGAGGTTAAGTCTATACAATCCCTTTGCGCAGCGTAGTTGAGCATTCTTTAAACTCTTTTAAGAAATATGTTTGAAGGCGGTATTGAGGAAAATGTACATATAAACATATTTGTTCCCGTATGCTCTGTTTTTTCTCTATATTATTGGATGAATATGTTAACTCAAGCATGTGAATAATAGTAGAGCTAGAACTAGTAATATATAAATAATAGAGTTGAAATGATTCCTAGTTATAAATCAATCAATCAATTTATCCACTCTAAAATTTGGATATCTAGATCTAAGATCTAGGATCTAAAAATATCTAGGATCTATGATTTCAAGGTTCCTAAGCATCCCTCCGCTCCGTCTTGCAGCTGCCAAGGAGTAAATGGGTGGAGCTCCCATTCAGTAAACTATTTTCTCATCCGCCACTGACTCCGCCGTTTTTAACAATTTCACTCAATTTACTAATTTATTTTAACCACTCTAGGTTTTACAATTGATCACTTTTCAATGTTTGGGCACTTGTAAAAACTCGTATTCTTAAAAAGAAAAATGTTAAATTGTTTAGGTTTGTTTGAACAATCAGAGTATGAGACTTCTTTGAACTCTCTTAGCTCAAGTTTCTTCCGGTTTTCCTCTCTCTACCGTCTCAGCAAAATATTTATTTGAACTCGAGTAGAATCTAACTGCGGGGATATCTAGGGTTGATATCGTTCTCTCTCTCTCTCTCCTAGAGTTAATACCACGGGTCCAGTGTAATCATTAAACTTCATTTGATAATATTATCGGAGAGAAATTATCATTTTTAAAATCTGAAATTATACAAAATCTTTAGATTCAGTTATAGAATTATATTTTTTTTGCCAAAAATGTCAAATTTTCTAATTTCTATATCTATACGACATTGGATTGAAAAGATTTTTTTACAAAGACTTGATTCCTTTGTGAGATATTCCTTATTTTCTTTCTTAAAAATTTTAAACTAAATCCACAAAGGATGAGACTGTACTGACGACCTAATATTTTTTAGTTATGATGCTTTAAAATTGAATTCTCTGTGAAATTATTTAGCAAAGAATTAAGGAAATGTATGTATTATGTGTGCAGAGTCCTCTATTAAAGGGACTGTAAGCGTAATTTCAAGTGACCCTGCATGCAATAGATAACAACAGTAGTCCGATCAAGTGTGAATTAAATATCTATGTTTTTTATTTGAAAACTGATTATTTACAATTGTGGGTTTTCTACCAAAGTGAATTTGGCATTTCCGTTGCGGGTAAACATATAGGATTTATTTATGATTCGGGTGCTGCAATCTTTGCATGGAGGGTCACTTGAAATTACGTTCATAGTCTCTCTGAGTCTCATTATTTTTGGCCAACTCTGTACAATATGATATGAGAGGAAATTACAACTGTTCAGTGTTCAACAAGTCGGAAAATCCTCATTTTCCGACAAACTTGCACTATAGGAAGAGGGGGGGGGGGTAATCAACTGCATATATGATGATGCATAATGGTTGAACAATCAATCAATCAATCGGTACAAATTAATTGATCTAACCCGGCTGGGCAAAAATTATCACTTTTTGTGAAACAGAAGTTGCAAAAAATCTTCACTTTAATTAAACATATGTTCCTTCAGTAACCAATAACCAATGCCAATATACACCCGGTACATATTTTTTTCATATCTTTTAAAACAAAATTTTAAAATATTTTGAATAAAAAATATTAAACGATATTTAGGTACATGCCAGTGCCCAGTGTGTTTTTTTTTCGGGCAAATCTGTTCAACTTTGATGGTCCAAAAACCTTCCTGGGGTCCTTTGGGGCCTGATCAGTTCAGCCATTTTGACGTTTTTACAAACAGACTAACAAAGCAAAGTATATCTTATATAGAAGACATTAGACGTACGATAATCCAAAGTTTTTTTTAAATAACCGTGCATATTTATAAATGAAAAAGAAGGCCGAATCGTGGAGAGTGTAAGATTAAGGGCTGTAAAGATACCATATTAAAGAGACTGTCTACGTAGTTTGTTAAGTGATCTTCCATTTAAAGAGTTTCAATACCCGATTCACAACGGTATCAGCTGTAAACATTTGTTCAAGAAAAAAAAAAGGTATTATATTTTTATGTATCAATGGTAAACTTAAAAATATTGTAACAGTCTCCCTTTAAGGGTTGATCTTAGGATTTAGCTCAAGACAAATGAAACTGTAGTCTGAGGTTTCTTGCAATTGAGGAAGGAAGCAGGAGAAGAATAACAAGATTGAACTCATATAGTTCCTGTTTTTAAAGGAAGAAGAATCCTTTAGACTTTACAACAACAACATTATGTTAATTTCTGTGATGGTTCGATGGGAAAATAGAAACAAGATACTTTATATTCGCTTGAGTCCTTAAAGGGACTATTTACGTTATTTCAAGTGACCCTCCATATATTATTCGATTCACAGTACCCTTGAAAGCTGTGTCTGAGCCATCATGTGTCTCTTTTTGAAATGTGATTGGATTGTCCTTAAAAGTCACCTACGGACCCACATAAATTAAACAAGAAGGGGAACATAGGTGTACTGTCCCGCTTTGCCTTACAAAGTCAGTAATTGTACTGTGCAGCTTACTCTAGCTGATATAAAGTCAATCCGGTACTTGAAACAAACCGGAGTTTACCATGGATCCTGTACTTGAAATAAACCGGAGTTTACCATGGATCCTGTACTTGAAATAAACCGGAATTTACCATGGATCCGGTACTTGAAATAAACCGGAGTTTACCATGGATCCTGTACTTGAAATAAACCGGACTTTACCATGGATCTGGTACTTGAAATAAACCGGAGTTTACCGTGGATCCGGTACTTGAAATAAACCGGAGTTTACCATGAATCCGGTACTTGAAATAAATCGGAGTTTACAGTGGATCTGGTACTTGAAATGAACCGGAGTTTACCGTGGATCCGGTACTTGAAATAAACCTGAGTATACCGTGGATCCGGTACTTGAAATAAACCGAAGTCTACCATGGTTTACCATCACTTGAAACTATACTGACAGTCCCTTTTAAGATTGCAGAACTTGATGCCAAATTTGAAGATGTCATCAATATAGCTGTGAGCATAGATTAATAACAATACAGATACAGCACTAAATGTCGCCTTTTCAAGATTTTGGGGTTACAATAACCCTGAGGAAGAGGCCTGCAGGAGTTACGAGCATGCTCTCTTTCTTTTTTTATTCAACGCTGCCTGCGCGGGACTCCTTTGGGCTTCTGTCTCAGGGTTATTGTGAAGGAAAAACCCATAAACCTTGAAAAGGCTACATTTAGTGTTCTATCTGTATTGTTCTTAATCTATGACTGTGAGATTTAATTTCTTGGCACACACATCTAATTGTAATATTAATTTCCTTGAGGACGTTTCTTATCAGAGATGAATAAGCTATTTCTTTCATTATCTTTTTCTTTTTTTCCTAGTTCAGAACTAACATGTCTAAGACAATTGAACTGAATGCATACACTCGTACCGACCAGTCTAGACTACCAGTGTAAAGTGCTTTCGGAAATTACGCGCAGAATGTTGGGAATAAAGAATTAGTTGGAGTGCCCGTTAAATTTTGAAAACACTTTAGAAAAAAATTTGATTTTTGAAAGAAAAAAATTAAATTTTGAATAAAAATAAATCCGATTTTTTTAGCCTATGTCACCGCGGCCGCCTGATACCCATGGGCCTCAAGGATTCCCTTAAAAAAATCAGCCAATTTGGCTCAGTCGTTATAATTATTTACACTTACTTAACAGGGAAGTTACAGGAATTTTATATTTCCAACTACTTTACAGGGAAGTTAAGTTGTACTATATCAAGAGTTCCTAAGACCAATTTTGCCCACAAAACATCCAAAGAGCAGCGAAGGATGTTATGTAGACAAAATTGGTAGAGGTGCCCATGGTTAAGTAAAATTTGTGCACCATTTTATCGTTTTCTGAGAAGTAAATGCGTGAATTTTTTTCCCGAAAACTTCGCAGAGCGGGTAGTCATTTTACCAACTCTCCCAAGGGACTTTAAAAACTTAACCTCCCTTTTTTGGTGGTATCATTAATCGGTTGGTCAAAAGACGGAAATATATATATAAACAGAGTGAGTCAAAAAAAAGTGTGATTTGCGGCGCTTGGTGCCAAATTGTATCTTTTTTATGCAACTCTCCTCTATGATGTTTTTTCAATACTTCTTGAAAATTTGTAATTTATTTTTGGTACTCCAAAGGCCCAAAAGAAAATCCGCAAACCATTTTTTCTCTCATAATCAAAAGTTCAGAAAAGCAATTTTTTTTAATATTGATGTTTGACTTTAAACCATAGATTAATAACAATGCGAATGCCGTGTTGAATTAATAGACGTACAGAGAAAGAGCATGCGCGTAACTCCTTGGGGCTTCTGCCTCGGGGTATTGTGAACGAAAAACCCCACCGAATTGGAATCGGTACATTTTAGAAAATTAAGAGGAGTTGTAATATACGCTTCATAATACTAACTTGCTTTTCCTAACGTGTAGAAAGATTTCAAAATTGTATGTGTGCAAAATTGTAAGTGTGCAAAATTGTATGTGTGCAAAATTTTATGTGTGCAAAAATCTAGGTTTGGTTTTCTCATGCTTGGATTTAAACTGAAAACAGACTAAGATACGAGGTCACAAAGTAGTAAAAGTAAATTCACACACAAAAAAATATCCTAAGTAACCTTAATTGTTTTAATTTTAAATCCTTTTTTTGTGGCCACTATATATAAAATATAGAATCCATCTTTTTTATCTCAATTTAGAATTGTTTTCATCTTGGTATCTCGTAAAATTTTGCATTCTGTAAATTTTAACTCAATTTTAGTTTCTCACAATATAATTCAACTCAAAGAGCTAACCATGCCTAGAAATTTCAAATCTTTTAAGGTATTTTACCCTGGAATTTGTCATAGATATAATAATTTTTTATTTTAAATGAAAATAAATGAAGATTTCCTTCACATTTGACAGACTTAAGATGGGGGAAATCTCCGAGATTATTTCATCTGGGGATTTCAGGGGAAAAATAAATTAGATATAAAATGTTTTATTGTATTTTTCCCCTCTCACGGTTTCACCTAGTTTTACACTCTTTTTTATCCAATTATATTACAAGGTGTTCCATAAAATTTGGAAACAAGATAAGGGCTTCTATATCGTCTTTTATATACGCGGCATTTTCAGTGAACATAATTAAAATAGTGAAAAGTATTTCATCCCGAAAAAGTTTTTAGTTTGTTTAAAATCTAATTTATCTAAATTTTATATCTTCATTATTTTTTAGATACAAGATTTTTAAGCTCCCATTATAGAAAACCATCTAGCTAAACGTATAAGAGGAGAGGAAGGCAAGCCGCACCCGTATAGCTTCCATCCCGCAACTTAGAGTTGCGGCAATACGCTCACTCGTTGCCCTATTTTTGGTAAAAATTAAACTTCTCTTTACCTTCGAAAGCATTATTTAGAGAAGATCAACATGAGCAGGCATATACAAAGTATTACCTTTTAGGAGAAAATAAAAATAAATCACAGTTTTGACAACAATTTAACAAGGATTGGCCCAGGGACCGAGAATGTTTTTTTTATTTCCAAAAAAATGATTAACATGTTTTGGTTAAAAAAGACGCCATAACGTTTTAAATCTTTCTCGTTAATAAGCCTTTAAAAGTAAAGACATTTTGCCGGAGAATATAGGGGTGAAGCTAAGGAAAGCTTTCTTTATGGGTAAGCGGGTTGCCACAACTCTATGTT